ATAAAAATTGTGAGATAAACTTACTGAGTTGACAACAATAAGGATTTAAAAATACTTATTCTTAACACACAACCCCCAATTTCTGAAACCTATTATAAGAAAAACTTTGAAAAACTTTTTATAACGCACGTAATAGAGTTCATTTCAAAGATCAAAAAACTTATAATAAGGACACAATTGAGAAATCACCCTGTAAATCCACCACCATGAGCTCAGAAAAGGGCGTCCGCCATCACCACTCAACCACCAAAACCACCTAATTCTCTCAGCTCTCCCATTTTTTCCCCCTCCCCCACCTCTCAAAGACTAACCTAGCCAAGCACCCATCTAACATCTGTTAAGATTTGTTTTTAATTTTTAACAATAGTTGTTGCCTATGGTTAGGAGATTAGTGATACCTAGACTATAAGAGAATCCCTAGTTTGTAGGAGTCACAGTTAGTGTGGGTAACCATGTTTATTTTTATGCTTTTAATCGTGGATTGTGGCTCTACAAAATATGCTAAGTAACGATCATGTTACTTGTAGCAGTAGCTTTGTTTTTCCTATTTAAGGTGTACTCTTTCATTCAGTTCAATTTATCAAGTTTGAAGCTTTCAGTCATAGCTTTTGTGTTCAACGTTTAAGCAAGCAAATACTCTTAGAGTTTCAATTTTATCCAACATCTGGTATCAAAGCTCCCACTGGGCATGACTAAAAAAATCCCAAATTGCAACAGTTTTTTTTGTGTATTGCAGCTGCAAGAATCCATGGCGACTGACAAGCCAAAAAAGAACTTTGTCCAGCCAGCCATACCTTGCTTTGATGGTCATTATGACCATTAGAGCATGTTAATGGAGAACTTCCTAAGTTCTAAAGAATATTGGGATCTTATGTGGAGGCGGGATACAAAGAGCCAGAAGAAGGAACACAACTGACACAACAACAACAAAAGAAACTTGATGATCAAAGGCTAAAAGATTTGAAGGTGAAGAATTATTTATTCCAGGCTCTTGATTGTGCTATTTTGGAGACTATTTGATGCAACGCGTGATAGCAAGAATGATGAAGAACACAAAAGAAAACAATAAACCTTCAATCCTTGTTGATTCTCTAGATGAGAATAACCAAGAACAAAAGGGTTCTATTGTTGTGCCTGTTCTTAACAACTAAAAAGAGTTATTAAAAATAGTAACTTCAATTCTTGCAAGTGCACAAATCGTTTATAGTATAGCTTATGTAAATACGAGGTCGATCCCACAGAGAATGGTAACGTAGTTCTAAGTTAAACTATTTAGAATGCTGGAAAAACATAAAACAAAGAAATTGACTAACTAAGGCAAAGTCGAATTCAACAATGCCCCTTGCTAATTACTCAAGGTCTAGGACAGAATCCTAGAACCACACACACACTTGAAATGGGGGGGTTTTGTTGTTAAAATGAAAATACGAAAATGAAATGAAAGTGTTGGAAAGAAAACATTGGCAGCAATTAACAAGTTCTAAAAGAATGATTGAGAGGTGTTAGAGCCTTGGAATCCACCACTAGTCTTCCCATTCAAGTTATGAATGCATAGAAATTGACTCAAGCTTCATTAACAATAGATTTTCTCATACAAGCCTATGGTATCTAGGTCAGGACGCATGATTCTCCTAAGGCATGTAATTGTGCATGGTATCTACACAACATGTGATCTCTAATATGCAACCTAGGCATGGTATCTACTTAGAATAAAGCATACAAAAGATATTAAGCTCCCTGAGAATATGATAATCACACAAGTCCTAGAACATGGTGTCTGTCCCCGTCAACCTATGATTATTAACCCCTTGAATGATTCTTAGGCCATTCATGTGTTGATTGTGGAAGGAAAGTAGAATTGGTGAATCTAAACCCCTTCCTAACCTATGCTAGATGAATAAAATCCTAGTTAGCTACTCCAAGAAAACATACATCAAGTACATAATAAATTGGAGGTTAACAACTTGATAAAGAAAGCAAGGAAATCAATTAACTATGAAATCATCTATAACATTGAATATTCATGACTAGGGCTTCATCCTAAGCCCTAACTAAATGGATTAGTTAGACATAACTATGAATACAGAAAATAAGAAATACATAGATAGAATAAAGAGAAGAGAAGAACTAACTAGTGGCAGCAAGATAGTTCCCAAGATAACTCCAAGCTCTCATTCCTTTGTAACTAGCTCTCTTCTCTCTTTGTGGTGAATGATGGAATTTGAATGTGTGTATAAGTAATGGATGAAATGAATGTATGTGTCCCCTTGAATGAGTGTGCAGCTCTCTATTTATAGAGTGCCAAAATCATCCTCCCTTTGGCTCGTGAAGCACACCTCTCTCAGTTGTTGCCCAACTGCCTCAGCTGTCCAATAAATGCTAACTGCTCCAGCTGCCCAATAAATGCTTTTGGTGGACTATTCTTGGTCTCTTCATGGTAAGTTTGACTTTTTTTTCCCCATCTTTCTAAGTTCCTAAGCCAATTTGTCTCCCATGTGTGACTGCTCTTATGTGTAGCACATGGCTACAGGGATGTGGCCACATTAAATGTGATGGCAGCCAACTATGACTTTTCTATGAACTTGGTTGGATGTTTGATGTGTTGAGGGCTCCAAATTTATCCAATGGGGCTGAAATTTGCATATGCTATAATAGACACCCATTGGAACAACTTCTATTAAGGATGTCTTCTCATCCGAGCTGTATAGGTTGCTAAAATGAGGTCTGTAAGATGACCTACGAAACTGGACTGACAAGGGAGTGTGGCCCAAATTAGGTTTGTCTTTAAGCTCATATTCCTCTCATCCCAATCAGCCCTTAACATGCATAGATTGTATCAAATGTGATTTCTTGTTGTCTTAACCTACAAAACACACAAACAGAGGGAAGTTACTCAAAATAAAGAGAAACTAAGCAAAAACACTAAGTAAAGAAGGCATGTAAATGTATGAAATTATGAACTTATTATCTATGCCTTGTTGATTCCAGCGGAATACCAAGTTGATAGGAAAATAGAGAGAATTCTCTAAGTTTAATATTTAACGTCAAAATTGTCTTACAATTAGCTATAAAATAGCTTTTATACTTAAGGAAGACAAAACAAACTCCAAACCCTAACTGAAGTAGGAAAACAAACTTATTTCCTAAACCAAACTCCCAATTCTAATTGAAATAGGAAAACAAAAATATTTACTTAAAATAGATACCTAGAACATTAATTACGCATCTTACGCCTGTCAAACTGAAACAGAAAATTATGAGCGATGCGTGCTGCTTCACTATTCTTTAAAAAGATACAGCAAAAAACATATGGGAATCCATGACGAAAAAGTACCAGGGCTCGGCAAGAGTGAAGCGTGCACAACTTTAAGCTTTGAGAAAAGACTTCGAGACTCTTCAGATGAAAAAAATTAGAGTTTGTTACTGATTACTTTGGAAGAGCAATGGGAACTGCAAACAAGATAAGAATCCATGGTGACAAACTTGATGATGTGACCATTATTGAGAAGATCTTGAGATCTATGGCCCTCAAGTTTGATTATGTTGTGTGTTCTATTGAAGAGTCCAATAATATTGATGAGATGTTAATAGATGTGTTGCAAAGCTCCTTGCTGGTCCATGAGCAAAGGCTAAACTGAGGCACCTTAGATGAGCAAGCTTTGAAAGCTTCTACCCTTGCTAAATCCTCAGTTTCAATCGAGGAAGAGATGGTCGAGGCAATTGAGATCAAGGCAAAGATGAAAGCGAACACCATCAAAATTACAAGAGAGATGATGATCACTCCTAAAATAGACAAAGAGGAAAGGTTGATAAGTCCAAGATTGAGTGCTACATGTGTGGAAATTATGGGCATTATCGCAATGAATGCTACACAAGGATGTCTAAAAACAAAGAATAGGGAGATAATTCGAACTTTACTGAGAAAAGGGAAGAAGAGATGTTGTTGATGGCCTATCATATCAAGGAGGAGCTTGAGTCAGAAGTCTAGTATGTTGACACTGGTTGTAGCAACCATATGAGTGGTAGTAAGTCTTCTTTCTCTTTTTTAAATGAAGGCTTTAGTACTATTGTGAGTTTTAGTGATAGTTATATTGTGAAAGTGATGGGAAAGGGTGATATTTAGATTAAAACTAAAAATAACTTTGTAGAGACAATCTCCAATGTCTTTTATGTTCCTGACTTAAAGATAAATTTGTTGAGTGCTGGTCAATTACAAGACAAAGGTCATACTATAACCTTTCAGAAAGGTGCATGTGAGATTTATGATCCAGTAAGAGGTGCCATTGCCATTGTTCAAATGACATTAAACAGATTGTTTCTACTGAAGATAAAAGACAGTAGAAGCTTGCTTAATGGCTAAGGAAGATGACCCATCATGGCTGTGGCACTTTAGATATGGTCAATGGATTGAAGACACTTCATAAAAAACAAATGGTGATTGGGCTTCCCATGATTACACCACCATCTAAAGTTTGTGAAGATTTTATTGTTAGCAAACAACACCTTGATGAGTTCCCAAAAAGAAAGGCATGGAGAGCTCATAATTAGCTAGAGTTGGTGCATTCAGACATTTGTGGTCCCATTACAGCAATATCAAATGGTAAAAGAAATACTTTGTTTCTTTTATCGATGATTTTAGCTGGAAAGCATGGGTGTATTTTTTTGTAGGAAAAATTAGAGGCTTTTAATGCATTTAAGAGCTTCAAAGCACTAGTTGAGATTGAAGCCGGAAGAACCATTAAGACTCTTTGAACTAATTGTGGTGGAGAATATTGTTCAAAGGAATTTGAAATTTTTTGTGATGAGCAAGGCATTAGAAGACAATTCACAATTGCATATACACCTAAGCAAAAAGGTGTATTCGAAAGAAAGAATAAACCATCTTCAACATGGTTAGAAGCTTGATAGTCAAGGGGAAAGTTCTAAAGAAATTCTGGCCAGAGGTAGTGTTGTGGTCTATTCATGTTTTAAACAGAAGTCCCACCTTTTTTGTTCAAAACATGACGCCTGAGGAAGCTTGGAGTGGAAGGAAGGCAACAACAGATCACTTCAAAGTGTTTGGGTGCATAGCATATGCACATATTCCAGATGTGAAGAGGAAGAAGCTTGATGAAAATGGTGAGAAATGCATCTTTCTTAGGGTGAATGAACACTCAAAAGCATACAAATTGTTCAACCCTATTACTAAAAAGGTGGTTACCAGCCGAGATGTGGTCTTTGATGAAGCTAAGATGCGGGATTGGAATAGAAAAGTCAAAGAACAACAACTAATTCCAATTGATTTTGAAGATGCAGAAAATAGGACTGAACAGCAGATGCAATCCTTAGATGAACACTTGCCCATTTCTTCAACAATTCCACTGGAAAATGAGCAACCACCTGAAAACCAACGTCCAAGGAAGAGACCAACTTGGATGATTGATTAGTTAAGTGGAGATGAACTCTCAGATGATGACACTACTGCTCATTTTGCTTTGTTTGTAGATTCGGATCCTATCTCCTTTGAAGAGGCAGTCAAAGATACAAAATGGCAAATGGCAATGGAGGCTGAAATCAATTCTATTGAGAAGAATCATACATGGGAGCTGACTGATTTGCCTAAGGGTCATAAAACTATTGGAGTGAAGTGGGTGTTTAAAACCAAATTGAATGAGAAAGGTGAAATAGGCAAGCACAAGGCTCATTTGGTGGCTAAGGGATAGAAGCAAGAATATGGGGTATAAAGAGGTGTTTGCCACTGTTGCATGGTAAGATACAATTCGTTTGGTAATCTCTTTAGCTGCTCAAAACTCTTTTCCTTTTTTTTCAATTAGATGTAAAGCCTACCTTTTTACATGGTGAATTGCAAGAACAAGTATTTGTAGATCAACATCCAGGCCATGTACAACAAGGAAAAGAGGAGAAAGTTTTGAGATTGAAGAAGGAACTTTATAGGCTAAAACAAGTACCACAAGTTTGGTACAGCCATGTAGTGCATATTTTGTCAAACAAGGCTCCCAAAAGTGTCCATATGAACATACTTTGTATGTTAAGGTTGATGATGAAATGACTTGATTTACATTGGAAATGATTGTGATATGTTTGATGAGTTTAAGAAGTCTATGATGAATGAGTTCGATATGACTGATTTAGGACTGATGCACTACTTTCTTGGTATAGAAGTAGTACAATCAGCTGCTGGAAATTTTATTTGTCAAAAGAAATATGTTCTTAAAGTGCTTGAAAGGTTTTACATGATGAGTTGCAATCCAGTTGGAACACCAACTGAAATTGGTTTAAAGTTGACAAGAGATCTCAATGGTGAGAGAATTTATAATACTTACTTCAAGCAAATAGTTGGAAGTCTGATGTACTTGACCTCAATAAGGCTTGACATCATGCATGCTGTTAGTATGATAAGTCGTTACATGGACAATCCTACTGAGATGCATCTCAAGGCAACTAAGAGAATCTTTCGATACTTAAAGGGAACATCAAATTTTGGCATTCTTTACAAAAAGGGTGAAAAACCAAGTTTTTTCGGCTTTAATGACAGTGATTATGCAGGTGATATTGATGATTGAAAAAGCACTTTTGGGCATGTGTTCTTGATGAGTTCAGGTGCTATTTCGTGGTCCTCAAAGAAGCAACAGCTCGTGACACTATCCACTACTGAAGTTGAATTTGTTGTAGCTGCTTCGTGTTCTTGTCAAGCCATTCGGCTGAGAAGAATGCTCGAAGTTCTTGTTCATCAGCAGCAAGGTCCAACAACAATATTTTGTGACAATGTTTCTGCCATAAAGCTTTCAAGGAATCTAGTTATGCATGGGAGGCAAACATATAGATGTTCGTTGTCACTTCTTGCGTGATCTTTGTAAAGATGATGTGATTGAGTTAGAGGTTTGCAAGGGTGAAGATCAAACTGCTAATATCTTGACCAAACCTCTCAAACAACTAGTGTTCGAGAAGCTCAGAAGCATACTTGAAGTTTGCTATTCACAGGTCGTTGTTCAAGGTAGGGTATCAGCATTGGACTAGAGTTGAAGTTTAAATCCTAAACTGTTTTATGCAAAAATCAGTTTAAGGGAGGGTGTTAAGATTTGTTTTTAAGGGAGGGTGGAGGTCGTGCCATCACACAAGGCCCCCAATTTTTTGGGGGCTTGTTTTTGTGTGTACACAACATACTTAAATAATTGTATGCCCAACTAAGTTGGTTTGTTGAGTTTCTATTCTCATTGGAGGCATGTGTTCGATTCCCACTTATATGCTCTAATAAAAAATTAGACAACATTAACACACCAAAACCACTAGCCAAAGCTTGTCTTCATGAAGATAGTTGTTGTAATTTCTTTTATAGTTTTAAATCTGTTACAACAATATAAATAAAATAAAATTTTGTTATGAACATATTGGTATTTAACTTTCTCAAAATGGTTAAAATTTGGATTAATTACTTAACACCCCCCGAACTATAGGGATTGATACAAACTCATACCTAAGTTTTGAAGGCCCTAAAATCATGTACCCAAACTTATGGAAATCCTACAAATGAGACCCTCCATTACCCAGACCATTAGTAGGTTTGTTATTATGACGTGGTAAACATGGGTTCTATTTGTTTTTGCTCATATGGCCTTTATGTAGACCAAAACAATTAGTAAAATATTATTTTCTTTTAAAATAATTTTAAAAGTATAAAAATAAAATATATTAAATAACATTAAATAACATAAATATAAAAAAAACGGACAAAAAGAAAAGAAAACTTATGCAACCCTTGATCTCCGCCCAACCCCACGAACTCAGCCACTAAACGCCTCCCCCATCCACCCACAGCTCCCACAACTCCCCCACCACCCATCCTCGACCCTCTCTCTCTCTCTCTCTCTAAAAAATTTATCAAGACATGTCATGCGCCAGACGCACTGGAGCTTCGCCGACCCAGCTCCTCCATTGACCCAACTCCACTGATATCTCCCTACCATCACTTTGGTTTATATATATATATACAGGGAGCTTCCATTGAGGGATCCCTCAAATAAGCTTATTTGAGAGACACCCCTTGTAGGCCCCACTCGGGATTGTATTTCACTAATCCAAACCGTCTATTTTGTAGATACTCATTCAAAGATCATCTCTACAAAAAATCACTTGAATCCAATATCATTTGACCACTAAATTGAGTTATTGAAATTTTAGTACTTTCTTGAAGCATCGTGTTCATTGATTTTGTAAGACACAATTGGATGTCGAAACGGTTTCAGATTTGTCTAATTTTTTGTAAGGGTGATCTATGAATGAAGACCTAAAAAATAGATGGTTTGGATCATTGGGAAAAAAATTGTAGGATACCTTAAAGGGCATTCCTCAAATAAAATTATTTGAGGGATCCCTCAATAGAAGGGGACTGTATATATATATATATATATATATATATATCTCTCTCTCTCTCTCTCCCCTTCTCCTTGTCGCCTCCCAGATCCAGGCACCATCAAACTCATCCCATCTCACAGAAGTCATTTTGAGTTCTTGGATTTGGTATGGGTGTGCTAGGGACACTGGTGGAGCCATTAAGCGATCAGTGTTGTCCTAGGCCCCACTCCATTTTTACCAATTTTATTTATATACTATATATGATATATGATATATGATATTGTAATATATTAGATTAGTTGTAGGATATTTAATACTAAAATAGGTTCTTATTGCGTATAAATTAACCATAAAACTTCTTGATCTCTCATCTACTTATCTCCTTTAAAGTTTTTAGGTTAGTTTATAATATTTGCACTATAAAAAAACCCCTAAATTTACGGCCTTTCTTTCTTTTTCTCTTTTGTTTAACTTAAGCTTTGTGAATTTTTTATTTCAGTCCTTTTTTCCACGTATGAGTTGGGAGTGTTGGGATTTATGATTTATGAACCATATTTTTTTCCTTCTCTCTGTTGGGATATAAATGATTAATTTGAGTATTTAATATTGTAGATGATGAGATTACTATTAAACCACTTTAAAATATGAAATTTACGTTTCTAAAAAAATAAAAAATTTCATGAAAATTATGATTATAACGGATGTATATTATTAATTAATATCAAATGATATTATGAAGTGAGCCAAAAAGGGTAGTTAGTATTGTATTAACTCATTAACCGATTAGCACTCCTATTCAAATTATATTTTAAAATTTTGGCGAATTAGGGCTGGGGTACGGGGGAATGGATTAGATTATTTTTATTTTTATTTTTTGTATTTTTTAAAATTTAATTGTTTATAAGATAAAACAAAGATTTAATTATTTTATTCCTATGTGGAGTCCAAATAAACTTTAAAAATCGGTTTTACAATGGCAACGTCATCATTTATCATAATTGTTTACGGTATGGGAAATGGAGGGTCTCATTTGTAAGATTTCTATAAGTTTGAGTACCTGATTGTAGGGTGTTCAAATCTTATGTATGAGTTTGTAATGCCCCCATAGTTCGGGGGTTTTATGTAGTTGATCCTTAAAAAAATTTTGAATTTGATTTGTAATTGCCTTTGCAAATTGCATATCATGATGAAGAATTTTATTTAATAAACAATGGTTTTATTATGGCATCAATTCACAGTAAAATTTTATATTAGTAGTTTCATGCTAAAGCATGTTACAATCATGCTCTTTATTTTTTAGTTAAAATTTAGCTAAAAACACAAAAAAACTATTTTAGGAGCTCTCTATAAAAAATATATATATATATATATAAAATAATTAGCATTAATTAAAAGTTTAAAATATGCATAAAACAAAGTAACATTAAATTATAGGGAGCTACTATGAATCATTTCTCTCTCCTCAGATTTAGGAGCTCCTAGAGGTCTCCATATTTTAGGAGGTGGATAGGGAGCATGCATGGTTGGAGTTGTAATTTGTTTATTCATCCCTAAAATTTGTCTAAATAAGTGATTTGAGGAGTTCATTATGGATACTCTTAAAAACCCTAATTTAAATTTTGCAAAATACCTTCAAAATCTCAAGATCGGTCACGTCGGAACATATATACAAATATAAGGAGTCCTAAGAGTTAATTTACCTAATGTTCACGTTAACCTAGAAAAACCTTGCTGTATTTGTGAGGAATTTGACCGTTTTGTGCGTTTCAATTAATCATGAGCATCTCAAGCCATACATAATAATCATTTCGCAGGAGCATGATTAAAATTTCGCACATTGGATTCACACCTAGGTTGACTGGGGTGTTTCGTAGTCAAGTACAGATCAATCGTGTTGCTAACAAAGTATTTTATTATGGCATCTAGAACCATAGAATCTGACGCAAATTAAAAAAAGCAATTTTGAAGGGAGATGCCAGCCAATAAAAGTTGTAAAATTTGGATATCACACGGTATTTTTCTCAGTAACCCTGCCCTAATGTTTCTGCAATTAAATAAAGAAATCCGTAACAAACATCCGTCTGTTTTGGATTGGTTATATTGGTCGGTGTGGAGGCCAAGTTGCATATTCTTTGCTCTGATTTACAAGGGTTATATTGGTCGGTGTGGAGGCCATGAAGGCAGTTTCATCAACTTCTAAGTTCGACTTTTTCTCCATTTCTTTTCATTTATTGCTGCTATCGAGAAGGAAAATGGACACATTCTATAAGATTTGAATAACTTGACTGACCTAAGAATAATGACCTCATTCTCCTTCAAGTTATTCGATTTTAGTCGGCAAGTTCATCATTATATATACTTGTTACTGTTTGGTTGGTTGAATGGTGTTTAAACATTGTCATGCATGAAACCAAAACAACAACTTAATCTTAGGGAGGTGATAGTCTTTAATCTCTTGGTTTGGTTATGACTTAGATTTGCCACACATCTAATATTTTCTTTCTGCCAATACGGGTTGCTTCAGTTGATAAGGTTCCTAAATTCCACCGGTATTTTCTTTCTGTAAAATTCCTCTGTAAAAAGCAAATTGTTACAAAATTCGACCCAACGTCCTTATTTTGTGTAGTAGTACTCAGTAGTCTTTACTTTGTGGATTGAGGTAGTGAGTTCAAGTAGGAAAGATAGTAATAAGATTTATAATAAAACACACATAAAATTTCATAAGTTGATATCCATGTTGTAAATGATTATATAGCTAATACGCTACCGTCTCATTTCTAAATACATTGTGCAACTCAGAGGTAAATTTGCAATCATTACAATGAAGAAAGAAGGAAAAGAGAAAGGATATATAGTTTGACCGACCGTAAGCTATTTGAAACATGCATGGTAGCTAATAAACATATATATTTTTCTAATAATCACATACTGCTGTAGGGAAGTAAATGTAAGATGATGAACGAAACCAGAACAAGAGGCAAGATTATGAAGAAACATTTGTAGGAAGCTCCATTTTTGTAGTTGCAGGCAGCTTTAATCTACTTAAGTTGTCCTTGAAACCTGCATTAACAAAAAAATTTGTGACTGAATCAGCAGCTTCAGTGGACTCCAATTTGTAACACAGTTATGTTTACAATAGCATCGATACGATAATAACGTGCGGACATCAAGATAAGAGAATAACTATATATATAAATGCTTTGTTCATTATAACTTCCTTTTTATAGTTTGTTGGGGTACATTATTTTGAATATATACAAAAACAGAACTGTGTATACAAATATACAAAATTGTAGGTACAATTTACTTATATTCATAATAATTTACTTATTGAACGAATTAAAATATAAATTATTGTATTTAACACTCGGTTTTAATGGAAATAAATATATAATCCAAGCTTTGAAATCTAAAGATGAACAAAAACATTGGAAAAGAGATATAAATCAACCGGAAAAACATGATTGAGAAAGAGATTCTAAAAAAAGAAGAAGAA